ACTCTCCCTCGTCACCACTCACTCACTTCACACTCACACTCACACTCACACTCACACTCACACTCACACCACTCACACCCACAACCCATAACACAACCCGGTGTAGTTGCCGGGGTTTTTTTTGTAGAATTAGCGCCACGGGACCTCCTCCTGTCGTAAAAGGCGACTAAAAAGGAGCAGCTGTCCGTGACCCTTTCCCTCTAATATCCTTACTTTCCCACCTAGTTTTCCTCCCATCACCGCAAGATCCAATAGGTGGACTGAGTAGCTTATGGACCTTGCAATCCTATCCCTTACGAAAATCCCCTTCTCAGCCTTCCTTCCAATTCCATCCTCTGCTGGCCTATGAAGTATTGTGCTATAGTGACCCTAGATGTGAAAAACGCCTTTAACACTGCAAGGTGGAGCTCCGTTCTTTCTGCGCTACAAACTCTTGGAGTTTCAAGGTACATCTCGAACTTGGTAAAAAGTTACTTTAAGGAGAGAGTCCTCCAATTTAAACATAAATTCCACCCACTAAAGTACTTGATGAAACAAACAGTTGACTAATTCTTGGGATAAGACAACAGCATCCCGCTTCGCTTTCTAGCACCAACTGTTTTTATCAAAATAAATAACTCCCCAAATTTTGAAAAGTGCAGCTTTCTATTGGAAACTACTATATCTGTTTAATTAAATAGTACATCATGGAATTAGAACGTAGGTGACGCCCAGAGGAAGTAAAATGAATATTAAAATTGCTGTCCTCTACAGAGGACACGGTGTCTGAAAGGACATAGTCACTATCGACAATCCGTAAAAGATACGGTCAACAACAAAGTTTAGCTTTAACTTCTATGCCAGCTAGCCAATTGTGTAAGTCATGCCACAAAGGATTGAATTTTCTCGCCTGTACAATGTACAACCATAGTACTCAATGTAGAAATAGGTCGACCATGGTTAAAAATTTTGTCTCATTTCTACATCGTTATGAAAAGACGGCGCACGTTCATTCACTGTACCGGTCACAATAAATTAAAATCAGATTTGAATATAAAGTAGTGGTACTAAAACAGTACATACTTCCTCGACATTAGTAAAGTGTATGTAATACTATTTATACCCCAATTTGTCTCCGAATTACTTTTCGCAAAACTCATTTGAAATCGTAGAACATTTGGTGCAAAAAATAAGAATGCAGGAAAGAAAAATATTTAAAAGTTAATAAATAATACGATACTGATAGCATTGGAAAACAGGTCGGAAAATATATAATACTAATTACAGGTTGCAAGCTTAAAGGTCATAAAAACTTTTTTTTAATTTATACGAAATTTGTAGTTGTTTGGGGTGCTTATTTCATATCTGAGCTCATTTTTATCCCAACACACACACACACACATTTTTCATAATGCACTATGAAGTTTATTACCTTACTGGCATTATATTATCATGTTTATTACTGATATATGAAAAATAAAACACAGTTTTCCAGCAAATTATACACACAATTTTTATTGCAAAAACTATTCATTTTTTATTTCTAATAACATTATTTGTCTTGTAATATCTTTATCCTTTTCTGTGAAGTTGCGAATAATTCTCTCCTTTGTAAGTATGCCCCATGAAGTGTCCCGGTGGAGCATCCCGCAGTAGTTGCCCATTATGTTTACGTTCTATCGATCCTGATATCTCTTTTCCATTTCCTTAATATCTTGGTGAAAATTTTACCTTGATTCTTGCTCATCTCACCATGTTTTCCAGGAAAGAAATCCAAATGTGCATGCAGGAAGTGAATCTTGAAGCTCATCCAACATCCCAATTTTTTATGTGGTGGTTTATTAAAAATGGCTTCAAACATTTCAAAGGAAATTCCCATTTAGGAAGGGATTTTACTGTTCTTTACTATTCGTAAAATAATGTTTTCGTTCTACCATTAGAAAACCGAAAAATTGAGAAACTGGCAAGAGTATGTGGCAAGTCCGAATAGCCAGCCGAGATCGAAGGAAATAGAAGACTAATACGGGAAAGCCATTCTGTAACGCCACTAGTTGTTTATGAAATGTTTTAAACTATAGTACATATCAGAGGCAGTGCCTACCCCATGGAGCCGCCACTGCACAGCTTCCCTTCTTTTAGACTATTGAAAAGAATTGTACGAACTGTAAGCAAATTCCACCCACGTAACTTTTGTATGTATCTCTAGGAATTTTACTATTACCTTGTCTCTTGTATTACGAATCAGTGATTTTTGTCAAAAATGACTTGCTCAAGATTGGGACCTTATATTCGGCAAATATAGATACTTATATTCGGCAAATATTATTAGAAAAGTCGACGTAATGATCATATTCATCAGGTGTCAGTATCGATAACTCGCTCCAAAACAAATCCTATAAAATATGAAAATTATTTTACATCATATTGCCCGATGTCATTAAACGATTAAAATCGGTTCACAAGTTTAAGTGCCAAGTAAATCTTTTCAACTGCATAACTGTTTCTATACAATTAGAAACTATACCAAGGATCAAAAAAGAAAGTAATATTGATTTTAACCATGATAATTAATGTATCAGTTACTATAGTGAGATTTTTCTAACCGTGCCCCTGGCAGGAATCAATTGTTGCCGGTTTTATTCAGTCGGGCGTTTATATGTCACTACAGAGACGTCACCATGGGGACGTTCAAACTCCCGGTTGCAAAAAGAGGCACGATTGCAAAAATAGCACTATAATTGGACTGTATAATCCTACAATGCGATTTTTATAAAACCGACTCTCAAGGCCCGTCTTCACAGTGACATTTATGTCACTGTATTTCGCGTCTTTCTCGGACGTGCCAGTAGATGTCGCATTTTCAAGCAGTGCTTGATACGGTCGCGATCTTGCGACATCTAGCGCGGCACGACCGAGAAGATGCGAAATGAATAGTACCACAGTAAAACTTGCCACATGAGGCAGCTTTATAAAAATCGCACTATAAAAGACTAAAGAATCCTGACTATGAAAGACTATTGTACCCCAGCTTCAGTGTCAATGGCCCCTATCTGTGTCCGGTCCTTTGAGCAAATACTGGGATGGCCCCTTGTTTTGCTTCTGGACAATAAATGTTAACTTCACTCGCTGCACTCAAGATGATGTATGCGATGGTACTCCTCTATGTGTATCATATTTGACTCGGCATACACGATTATAATGGTCTATGTGTATTTACTATGTGTGTTAATTATTATTATTATTATTATTATTATTATTATTATTATTATTATTATTATTATTATTATTATTATTATTGTTGTTGTTGTTGTTGTTGTTGTTATTAATAATAATTATTAATAATATTATCATCATCATTTCGATTCTGTTTTTGTCCAGTTTCCTTGATCCATTGAGTGAATGCTTAGATACTCCTTTTCTTTTTTTCTTGCTTCTGAACATAAAACTTCACTATCTGTGCAGGTTTTCTATATTTCAGTGGCAAATACTACAGTTATTCAAATTATCTGTCTTCATGTTATCGCGGCATAAGTTGATTCCTTCTCAAAGGGCAAAAGGTATAATATCTGTATCTGATTGGCCTTTGCAAATGTTTTCTATTAAACCGGAGCGAATGTGTCCATACCAGTTCTTGCCAAAAACGAACGTTTCCATCTATATTACGAATTTAACTTTTATACAAGTTGTGTCAGGAAAGTAAGTTGTGTGATTTTTTCCTGCCAACCCAGAAAATTGAAATGTTGCAATTGTTAGGGGAAAAGTGGGTGAGGGGTCTTGGGAAGATAACTGGGACATACTGTCAAAAGTCAATTTTACTTCAAAGACTCCTAATCCGGGTGCTGCGCGTCAGGAAAGATATCAGAGGAAATTGGCCACTCTACCACAACGTGCCTCATACCGCCTTCGTTAGTACGTACCCGGTCAGGCACGGGGTGGCAATGCTGCCCCAGCTACCACACAGTTCTGATCTCGCTCTAAAGGATTTCTTTCCGTTTCCTTGAAAAAGAGAAGTTTCAATGGTCATCGTTATGGGACCGTAGATCGCATGAAAGCCGCCGCGACGAGGTATCTGAAGGAGGTTCTTGTCAATGTATTCTAGGAAGCTACAAGACCAGCCAGAATTGCTGGAAAAAGTGTATTGACGACCAATGGTGCTATTTTGAAGAAAACTAAACCTTTATATTTTTATTTTCAATAAATTGCTCTTGGCGGATTTATACAAATCATTTTCCAAATAACTTTGTATGGTTTAGGTCTGGAATACCAGAACTTACGGAAACGCACAGATTACCCTTCTCCAGTGTATATCAGGCAAGTTTTTAACTGTTATTTTTTACGTTAAATAAACAAATTTATAAAAATAAATCACTCATGAAAACCATCCCTATTTTCAAATAAAGCACTGATCCAATATCTTCACGACAAATGTCTATAATGACAATACCTATTTTTATAAGTAGCAATAATTGAATTGGCATTTTCAGGCATGCGGAATGATACATTTCGCACACCGTAGCGATGTGATTTTCGATAGTAAAATACTCTCTGGATAGTACTCAAATGTTTTAGTCTACTGACCTGAACGGACCATCCATACCACTGCCAGACGCCAAGTTTGAGCAACTGTGGAGTATTGCTATATGTGAGATTCTTTGGCGGTTAACAATGAGCGATGCAAACATTTGTACAGATATAGACAAAATGATGCAAGAAATATCTCTGTTACCAGTTCCTGAAGCCACATCAATACCTTTGGACCAGTCTCTCCAAAACAAAGAAAAGAATCCTTCTTGCTCCGAACTCATCGCGAAGTTGGAAACGGAAATGGAATCTCTGCTTCATGGAACCATTTCACTTCTTGATCAAATTGGGGCTGCTCGACAAGACACTGCAAAAATGCAATTGTACCTTGCTACTTTGCTAGACAAAGATTTAGTTAAATGCGGAGAAAGTAGTTCAGAATTATCTGAAAATTGCCTTGCTTGCAAATCAACGGATTTTAAAAGTACAATGAATAGTGAAGAAAAAATGAGTTTAAAATAAACGTTTTTCATAATTCTTTATTTAAATTACTGATAAATGGGTTTCTCTTGGTTTTAATTTTAAACTTTGACACATGAAAAATACATTCTTGAGTAATTGACATATGCTGTTTTCTTTAAACTTGTCAGTCTCCTTCAATACTTGTGTTTTTAAGTCCTATCAATACATTGTTTTTCATCACACATTACTACATGAAAGACAAAGAATACTTAAAATAGAATTAATCTTCATTCAGTAATTAATTCATTGATTTACATGAACATCAGAATAGGCCTAACTAGGTTACATAGAATTTGCATGGTGAGCATAGCCTTTGGGAAAATTACTTCATAATTTGCACAATAAATACTTTGCAATGTTCAAATGTGAATTCTAAAGGTAAAGATCATTTCTACTTCCATGGGCACTAAGAATGACACACAATCACTACACAATACTGATCACCTTGGCTATTTCATACAAATAAGGTTACAGCATACATGTTCAACTGCATAAATGTACGAGTTCCATAACCTTGGATTCGTCAGAGTAAAATACCATTTCAATGTCTCTTCTGATGTGGAAATGTATCCCACGCACACACAATAGAGCTGAAATGACTCAATTATGACTAACAAGTTACAAGAGATTATTCTCATTAGTGCAAAAACAAGACCAAATAAACATAACTTACATTCTTATATCTGTTCCCTGTATTTATTCTCTGTCCAGAAATGAAACATGAATTCCAGACAGTTCTCGCAAACTACTGAGTAATTTTAGTTTGTGCACTTTGAGAATTTTGCTACACATGATTTCCAGTGTTCAGAGAATACCTGATAGAAGTGAATAAAATGTATACACTGCGTCCCTGAAGCTAATCATCCACTCATACACCAGACATACATTTTTGATATGTACACACGTACTTTAATATAATTATCTACAAATTAATATTAAAGGGAGCAACATGTTCTATTACCTATGTACAAATAAGTTTCACATCACTCACAAAAATCCATAAAACCAGTCTCACATTAATTCTTATTAACATATATACCTGAAAACATTGCCATTTTCTAGTTATGTAAGGAAATGAGCAAATTTTCTTATCCATCACAGAAGACTTTTGAATGAAAAACATTCTGTCTTTTTAATAAAATGTCACCTTAAAAAAATAGTAACAGGGCAATCTACTCACAGAAATAAATATCTAGACAAACGTCTCTAGCATACATGGAAATCTTCACAAAATGCATACCGAAGGTCACATTTAACAATTTCTTCGATAAAGATCTACCATCTTGACTTAACTACATTCCTTAGTAATTGTATATTACAAGTTCATACAGTCCTCTAAAAGACATTACTTACAACCAGAAGAAATAAAGCCCTTATGACGAAATACAAAGAAAATATTTCATGTCTTTAACACATCCATTAATTTTTTTTTTTTTATAGTACAGAATAGTTAACAAAAAAATAAGAAACATTTAACATTGATGTACATTTCAATGTTCTCAAATCAAAATTATTTCTTCCAAATTTGTTCACATATTTTAATTCTCAAATGAATCAATTCCAGGATCTCAAGAACCAAATACAGCATAATTTTGATTTGATCAATATTGACAAGTTATATTCAGGTAAATTTCTTCTGAAACAAATCGTGCCCAAATTGAATGCCTGCCTGACAACGCAGTATGAAGAACTATGCATAGTTCAAAATTTCTTTATCAATTCTTTTCATTAAGCCACATTCACATCAATAAAGAGCCTACAACCAGTAGTAACATTTTATGGATCATTTTAACAATTAATTTAACTGTTAGAAACACCTATTGTTTGACAGAAAACTTAAATATGTGTACATGTCATTAATCAAACTATATGCTATTTTTCCCTTGCCTATGAACAAAATAGGTGTATAATAACTATATTTAAAAAAGTACAATATCTGCTCATACACATGTGCATTAAAATTATTTGCCCTAAATTATGCAGGAAAATAAAGAATACTCAATATCAATTCAAGGAAAAATTAAAATACACATTTCATACATATAGAGCTTTTGAGAGTAAATTAAACACAAATGAATCATATGAATGGTAGAGATTAAATGTTAAAACTTGTGTAGACAGTTTTTAATGTGAATATTGCTTAACAAAATACAGTTCATGGATTATTTTGCTTATTTGATCGAAGTCTGGCAAGACCAGATCTTTCCTCCTCCTCATCACTGGTGTAGGAAGACATGCCAGCAACTGCCCCACGTGTTGAAGTTGCTTGCATTAATTCTTGATCTGGACCATTCCTATTCTCATAAAGAAGAATATTTAGAGTCTCTTCATAAATGCGTGCCTCGGGAAACTCAACCTAAAACAAAGAATTTTGTCAATTTTATGTTTACTGGTTTCAAACCTATGAAAATTAAGAGAAGTACATGTTCAGATAACACTGTTAAATATTCAGCAATTAGTCAAGTGCGCTTTGTAATTCTGAAAAGGACAATTTAATGATTTTTGCATCTACACCTTGATTTAATTCTATATTTTTTCCACTTCATTTTTAGAAAGGCACGCACCTATTAAGTTGTTTGAAAAACTGAACGGTAACTTTGCAATAAAAAACTTTTAGTATATTAAAATGTGAAATAGTAAAATCATCATGAGGACAAAAGTAATCTCAATGATTCACCAATGTGCAAAGGGTGAATACACACTTAAAACATCACCCCTTTAAAAATTTTCGCTAATCATCTCCTGTGTACTCACACAGGAGACTATACTATTACTAGAATGTCGTTGTAGTAGTAAAGTAGTCATTTAGAGCCTTTTTAAGCTTTCAATTATTTCATATTTTGTAAGTAAAATAATCTTCCAAAAGCATTTGTTTTGCCACTTTTCTCTTTATTTTTGAACTTTTTTGAATACAAATTCGGTCAAAATTTATTTCTCGAGAACTACTTTAACCATAATTTTGAAAACCAATGTGGGTGGGAGTAGAACAATGCAGGAGGATAGGGTTGTTAAGATAATGCTAGTCCTTTTCATACATTTTAAGATATAACTCCAAACTTTGAACCACATTTCTTGCAACATGTTTACCAAGCTTTTTGTTCCTTCTCTCTTATCAATCTTATAGGAACACAAAAGAAAATACCTCGACAAAAATTGAACTAAACATAAATCACCAACCTTAGTATGCTTCTTATCAGTTGCATACACAATAGATGTACAACATACTTCAGCCACTTTCTTTCCATGACCATAGAAACTCCAACAGCATATTTCACTGGAACCTATCACATCTTTTATAAACAGAACTCTGCCACTAAATCGAAGAGACAATTTATCAAAGAGTTCTATATTTTTTAGAAGGTTATCATCAGATGCACTGAAAATGAATATTTAATATTTATATTGGCTTGTAAATATTAGGAGAATTGTATTGGCATGTATATACTTTTAAAAAAAGTAAGATTTACAGAAAATATTACCTGGTATATGAATATTTATTATTATGTCTGTTAATCAGAAGTTTAACAACTGGCTGCAATAAGAAAACAATGAAGATAAAATTAATTTGTACATTCTAATCCTCCTCAAAAGCTAAATAGGATATTTGTGCACACAAAGTTTCTCTTCACTCGCAAATCAAAGTTACCTTGGGAGTAGAACTAATTAGAAGTTGCTCCTCTTTCTGCGATGTAATCAAAGGAACTCTACAGATTGGTTCTGCTTCTCTTTCCTTCTTAACCACCGCTCTCTCACATGAATCAACAAGGTCAGCAATACAGTAGTATTTTGCTTCAGCCAAAAGCTCCAAAATTTGCTTAGAACTCTCAGGTAATGGAACACTTCCATCTCTCAGAAAATTCAGAATGGTCCCAAAATGTTTCCCACATCGATCTATTAAAATCCAACCTACAAACAAAAAATAAAAAACTGCATATAAAGAAGGCAATTGATAAATCATAAAAAAAATATACTTCATAGTCTTTAACTATTTCTAGTATATTGTGTACGAGTATACAAGAAAGTAAAAACTTGAGGCAAGTCACCTTCTGAATCTGTCAGAACTTCCATACGACCACTGAACATTGCTCTCAGCATTGTATCATGTTTGGTGAGAGTTCCAATAGTAGTGTAATGTAACGATCCTCCTACATTTAGCTTCACATACTGCGAAGGATTTCCCTTAATTACTGTTCTATGATCACCCGACATTGTCGAGCAATCCAGGACGCTAGACTTCTTAATTTTTAATAACTTGGGAAATTAGTGAAAAAGAATGGCGACTCACAAGCAATTGACGAGATAAAAATTCACTCCCAAATACCAGCAACTACCTTTTGACACTGACAACTGATTTGATGAAAACAATTATCGAACGTATTTGAACACGAACACTTAAAATAATTAAAAGATGCAAATAGGTCACAAGAATGAAAAATATAATTAATTAAATATGCCACCCTTTACAGTAAGTCACGCTCAATGTCGCTTGACGTACTCCCTATCATTGGCTGTAATTTTCTACACACGACTAGACATTCAAGTCTCGGCAATCACCTGTACCCTGCCTGTACTAAAGATCACCTGCAATTCCCCACACACGCCCAATAAATGTCACAGATGTTTAAACAGAGAGTATACTGCGCTTAATATAGGTGGTTTTGAGTCCGAAACGGTCCATGGAGTTTACAGGTTTGAACTCTTTATTCGAGACGTTCCAAGTTGTGTGTGCAAGCGCAAAGAGCACACAGGCAAAGAGCGTGTAGTCAATATAGTATTCTTTGCATTCTGACCAGTGGCGAAAGTGTGGGGTGATTGAGGTTATTTGGTAATTAATGTGTATGTAATTTATTAAAATGACGAAGACGGATAACTTATCAACAGAAGAACGAAAAGGGAGAAAACGAGTATCCAAGAAAAATAAGATTGCCTGGCGTAAACATTGTAGTACTAAAGATGTTGACTTGTATTTGGAGGAAGTGCGACATGAAGAACGTGTTGGGTAAGTCATAGAGGATTATCCCTATCTGTAATCAATACCGAATTTAATTGACAGCATAGTATTCAAAATTGTCTTTTATTATTTTCGTGTTTCAGAGTAAATTTTACAACTGTAGAAGATGACAAACTATTTTACGTTGATACGTCATTGAACTCTGAGGAAGGAGTTAAAAGTAAAGCTGAAAGAAAACTAGAAGCTAAGAAAAAACTCAAAGGAGTTCCCAAGTGTTTTGAAGCCTTAGTGCCTCATACATCTGTTCCAGATCCAGTTATAAAAAGGTAAAGTAGCAAAAACAGTTTTTCCTGGTGTTCCATTCTGCCAATGATGAAGTCAAATTACTTAATTTAGAGTAAGTTTCCTTCCAAATGTTACAACGTGTGGTGAGAAGTATATTACCATTGACAAATGTGTTATTATTCTTTGAAACTTGTAGATATTGTTACTATTCATTTAGAGCTAGTGGGAGTGAGATGCCCTTGACTTTATAAGTTAGTGCTGGAGCTGGGTTAATATCATTAGGGTCTCTACTCAGGATTAAACTACAAGAGTCCTAAATTAATTGAACATAACATTGATCTATTACATAACCCTTGATATAACTCTCATACACACACACACACACACACACACACATATATACACATACATAACCCTTCTGATACATAACTTGAACATGACTCTGATACATGTACACTGATAGTAATGGTGCAACAAAATAGCTCAAACTCCTCGTGCTACTTGTAATAAGTACTTAAGCCTTCAGAGTTTGCATGGATTACAGTAGGAGTATTACGCACCTAGCAACCTGTAAATGCTGCATTAATATGGTCACAAAAAAGAGATTAACAGTTCAAGTTTGTCATAGAATTCAGCAATTTATTACTAGTTTCAATGTATTTTGCTGAAAACATTCATGTTTCTTTTAACAGTAATCCTGGTAACCATTTTAAAATTACTTAAATGGTACTTTAAATTTGGAGATTCCTGGGTTCTAACTAACTGATCAGCAATTTTGGGGGTTTCATCAAGTAGAATACGAAGTTTGCTGACTTTTACCATGTGAAAAGTAATGTTTTGAGTCACCCACAACACGGTATTGTTTGGCCATATATTATGCATTCAGAATACTTCACCCACTTTCAGAAATTACATTAAATGGACAATATTTATATTCACAAATTATTATGTATGCAACTAGCTCAAGAACCCTGCATTGCTCAGGGATTTATTTATCACAATTGTGATCATATCAAGGAATGAATTCTATCTATTGTGTACCCCTGCCCTGGCATATCTTGCTCATATCTTGCAGTAACCCACCTTGCTCTATCCCACCCACCAAGTTTCACCTTGTCTAAAACCCAACCCAACTCACCTGGCTCCACTCCCACCCCTATCTTCCCCACCCTACCATGTTCGCTACGTTCATCATTGCTAGGGGTAGCTGTAAACAGATGCATTGTTGCTGACTCCCAGAAAACTTCCAGGAGTAATTTTGACCTGAAACTACTCAAAGAATAATCACACAATTTGAAAGAATCAAAAAGTATTTAATAGAAAATTTTATGAGATTTTAGAAATGGGTTATTTATTTTTATACATTTACTCTCAATTTTCAGGTTATTGTAAAAATGGAAAGAATGCACACTTAAATTTTGATTAAAAGTTAGGGTTGGGTTTTTCAAAATTTTGCATAGAGAGTAAGTTTTTCTTGTTTTCAAGGACATGTGATTAAGTTAGGAATAAAAATGTAGGTTAAAGTAGGGCACACGGTTCAACCTCAGAAAAGCATGGTAGGAGGGAGGCTTAAGCCCTCCCTTAAATTACGCTACACGCTCTGATAAAAATGAATAAAACTTATGGATAGGCAATTTTCGTGTTTTGCCCTTCATGCACTTTGTCCCTACCGCATTTTCTCGCTTCGCTCGCCCCGATACAAGTCATGGCAAGGCTCGGGTCTTTGGCCCTCGCGTTCACCGTAAACATCATTGAGTCTATCCACTGCATAGTTATCAATTCACTTTTATAATAAGGCACTTTTCAAGAAAGCCTCCCGAATTCAAACTGCCACCGGAGCTGCGAGAAGTGCTAGTTTAAATGTTTTCCGTAAGTTAGACTAGACTTTAGCCATAATGTAGACTTGTATTAAAGAACTAACATTCTGCTTTATATAATAGAAAATAATTTGAAAAAAATAGTCTGTGTTACATCCTACAAAATGCTCTATCTTTTTGTGAAAATACCTTCGGAATGAGTTTTGCTTTTCCAGAGATTAGCCTGGCCAAACAGACAAACCAATGGACAAAATGCGAGAAAACAATTCAGTTGTTTTTAATATTATCTAAAGAAATGAAGTTACGCAGAAAGCAATCAGGAGAATCAATAAAGCTAAAAAATGACTTCAAAAGTTAGGATTTATCTTAAAATACCAAGCATTAAGGATGCATGCGGAAATGAGATGTGAATTTATTTATATAGATAATTGTGTTGTAACTTGCTGGGAGGTATCCATTTTTAATCTATAACTGGTATTGTAGAAAATTGGTAACTTTGAAACAGCCAATTTTGAAGATTGCTGGCTTAGGTATATCCATTTTTATTGAAAATAAATTCTTAAAATGTATTTCACAAAGTTTTAAGTCACCTGGAATGTTAGGTGGGTAGGTTCCAATGTCTAGATTGACCTAATACAAATAACTAAATTTCAGGAAACAGTGAAGATAGCTGGGTTTGAAAAAAAACCCCTATCATTTAAATTTCTTATATGTTTTTAATATAACAATATACTCCGGAATACTTTTGTTATTGTTTGGGTTGGATGTTAAGATGTGTTTAAAAACATAGTTTTTAAATCTAATTTCTTTGATAATCAATATTACATGAAAATGCATACTTTTTCCCTACTTACTATTTACTGACTAATTTTGGACAACAAAACTCACTATTTTACTGTTCTTAACTTCAGTGACCATTGAGATGTCTGGATAAAACATAAATGGGGGGGGGGATATAATCTGATTTCACAAAAATAATTTATATAAAGATTATTGAATTATTTTGCCAGAGCAGAGGTTCTCAAACTGTGGAAAACTGCCCTTCGGTGATAAGCAAAGGCAGCAGAAGGGGAGCATGAGAAAGTTTGAAGAATCAGTTTTATAATAAAACAAGAAACTTCAAGCAAATAAATCTTAATTTCAAACTTATACATAATGTGTTTTTACAACTGATAAAAAATTAGCATTTGTGAAAAATCCAAAATTTTCGTTTCCAATTTCAATAAGTATCTCCGTTAATGAGATTTGAAAACAAAAGGTTAGTTAAATAATTTTTTTTTAAATTTGTGTTTGTTTTTTCTTCATTTTAATAATGCTCTTTGGAGATCTTAAAAAAAATTGTGAAACTAAAAGAAATTGAATAGCTTTTATAGAGAGAGAGAGACACACACACACACACACACATTAAAAAGAATGCTTACCATTCACTAAGACTTGGGGGCTTGGGCTTAAAAATTCTAAAGCCTTTTTGCCAGAAGAATAACGAATGGGGGTGTAAAGGTGTTTTTTTTCTCTTTTCTCTCTCTCTCTCTCTCTCTCTCTC